TGCCTTGCTTTCTTAGTTTGATATGTCTGAGCCTCTGAATCCCGACTCTTTTTTCTTTTTTCTTTATTTTTTCAATTATTCAGCCATGCCCACAGCGAATCAAAGGTCTGAAGATCATGACATAGATTGTAGAAAGAGTCCCTGATACAGAGATGGAGAGACTGACTGATACAAAACATCATAACTCAAAGTAAAAGTGACCAAATCAAAAGCAAGGAGACAGAGAACAGAGGGGGTGAAATGGAAAGCATCGAGCTGTCACAGCACTCTGCTCAGAGTGATTGAGGTGAAGTCTTTGATGAACGATTTCATGTCAGTCGTTTCAGGCGAGTGACACTTTGATGACACAGTCAGAACTTTTCAGGATGAATCAAGATCTATATCAATAGCAGAACAGTTTCAGTTTTTCCATTACATCCAGGCTTGCAGTGAAATCTCTGAGGCTCTACGTAAGCAGCTTTTTTATTATTATTATTTAACATCCTGATTAAAAGGAAGGTCAGCAAGGACAGAATAATCTTTTTCAGATACTGCTATAATGTAGTATCTAAAAAATATTATTTTTATATTCGTAGAAAATGAGATGAGCAAAGGGCAGCTTATTAGATTTAAATAATAAATTAAAAATATATTATTTTCATCTGACAGTGTCATACAGATGTCAGCTCGTTCCAGCCTTTTTTGAACCCACATTATAGTTCACATGTAGAAGAACATTACACAGTGTATATTGAGTATGCTTTACATCTTATCAAACTATTTTCAAATGCAGTCTGTACAGTCTATACAGGTTTTTGAATATGTTTCAGAAACACGCTCCAGAAACTAATTAATTTCTTTCATTTTACAGAACTTGCTTGAGCAGCCTCTCACAGTGAGCACATCATGTACACTTGCGATATTTTAGGCCAGTGTCACAATGATGTAACATCAAGCAGACAACGGTTGTCTGCACTATTTAATTATGTTAACACTATTCATTTATTTAAATCAAAGATGCATTGTTCTGTGGAATTGCATTTCCTGTAATCTCACATTATATGGTTTGAATCATTTGTCTGATTGTAGCCAATGACTGCGTAGCCTGATAATCACACTAAATCACATGTTGTTGTGATTCATTCATTGTGAGGGGTGGATGCAAACTACAAAAACAGTATATTACCATTTAGAAAACTGTTTTCTGCACATCCGACAAATATGACACAACATTAGCATTCATTTTATGTTGAGTTTTTGAGGGGAATGTGTGTCAATGCATGACCTCCAGTGACAGTAAAACTGTGGGTCACAAAAGCACAACAACAAGCTGAAAGAAGATCGCGTGCTTCGTTAAGCCGAGGGGTGTTGGGTGGTTCTTCTCTGAGGGTTCAGCTTACGCTAATGAGTCAATTATAGAGGTACCCTGTGATAGTACAGCAGTAAAAAAACAAACAAATAAAAAAAAACATTGATTATAAACTGTAATGTTTTACACATTTAGCAAAGAAATGTGTGGATTTAACAGTTATATCTTGTCATCATTCTCTTTTGCTTTTTTTTATCAAATATGTCAGGTACACAGATGGCTGAGCAGCTAACTTTCCTCCTTTTGGACCCCAGACCATTTGGTTTAGGTGACAGGTATTGTTTTTTTTGGGGGGGGTTTGTGTTTTTTAAGACTTTTTAAAAAAATATAAAAACAGGGACATTTGTCATGCATTTGGAACCAAAAATACGTCAATTTACCAGAAAATGTATTTAACATAGTATAAAAGTCGATAATGAACACCAACAATTATTTTGCACTTATTTTTTTTTGGGGTCCAATGGACCCCGAAAGACCTTCTACGTATGGTAACACATCCTGAATAGGGGTAATGTTACATGTAGTGCACTGAAAAAGTATTTGCCATCTTCTATTTTTTTTGGCATATTTGTCACACTTGAATGTTTCAGATCATCAAACTAATTTTAACCCAATTAAACACAAAATGCAGTTTTTAAATGATGATTTCATTTATTGAGGGAAAAATGCTGTCCAGCCCCACCTTGCCCTATTTGATAAAGTAACCTTAGCTACCAATCTGCCATATTATACCAAATTTAGTTGGGAGTTGGGTTCAGCTTCACCAGCCACATCCATGTATGATCACTGCCAGGCTTGTTGAATCTAAACATTACGTAAATAGAACCTGTCTGGCATTGTGAAGTAGACTAAAGGGTCTCAAAAAAAAGAGATTCAAGAACAGATGTGAAACAAAGTCACTGACATTGAACAGTTTGGAAAGGTTTACAAAAGGCATAGCTGAGAAATGGAGAAAACATGGAAAACATGGAACTGTGGTAAACCTTACCAGGAGTGGCTGGTGTACATGATACCTCAACAAGGGAGACACTGAAGAAATATGGCATCCATGGGTCAGTTGCAAAGGTCAAACCACTCCTGACCACAAAGAACATAAAGGATCATAAAGGCTTTTGCAAAAACATATCTTGATGAGCCCAAAGACTTTTGGCATACCATCTGGTAGGTCAAAGGTGGAACCATTTGGAAGACATGGGTCCCATTATATCTGGCATACAGCCAATACTGTTTTCCACAAGAAGAACATGATACCATCATTGAAACATGGTGCTGGTAGTGTGATGGTTTGGGGCTGCTTTGCTGCCACAGGACCAGGACACCCTGTTATATGCATAACAATGACCCAAAGCACACAAGCAAGTCCACCTCTGAATGGCTCAGAAAGAACAAGATTGAGTGCCTGAGTCAAAGTCTGGACTTAAATCTAATTGAGATGCTGTGGCAAGCCATTAAAATGGCAGTTCATGCTCAAAAACCATCTAATGTGGTGTGTAATTAAAACTATTCTGCAGAGAAGAGTGGGCCAAAATTCCTCCATGGTGATGTAAAAGACTGATCACAAGCTGTCGCAAATGTTTAACGGCAGTTGTTGCTGCCAAGGGTGGTCCAAGCAGTTACTCGGTTTAGGGGGCAATTACTTTTTCTCAGGGGTGATATAGGTTTTTTAATAAATCATCATTTAAAAACTGCACTTTGTGTTTTGTGGGTGTCTCTGTCTAATATCAAATAAATACAAACATTAGTTTGATGATCTGGAACATTAAAGTGTGAAACATGCAAAAATAGAAGACATCGGAAAGGGTACAAATACTTCACAGCAATGTACTAACCTCTAATTGTCCAATTATTTATAAAAAATTAGGAATGCACAATATATCGGCAACCACATTGGTATCGGCTGATATCAGTGCTTTTTTCCATATATCGGTATCAGTTCGATGAAAAAATTTAGCCAATGAGAAAAACCAATGATTGTCTAACAGTAGCGCCTTCCTCTCTACATTTGATATTGCTGCTATTTCATAGATGTTTTCACTGAAATGGTCCTGGACTTGAATGTCAAATATGTTAAAATATGTTTTACTTTTGCTACCTAATAAAGAAGACTATGTGGTCTAATTTGGTATGGGCATCTTTTGAATAGTTTTCACGTTCTTACCGTTCTTACTTATACTCATTTTTCAATGTGAAAAAAATTGAATAACGATTAATATCGGTTATAGAAATATCAGAAATCTTAATATCGGGTATCGATATTGGCCAGAAATTTTACTATCGTGCATCACTAATAAAAATTCAGGTAAAATTTGGTAAAACATCAGACTTTTGAATTAATGAACAAACTGGCGATGTGGGCAGCGATTCATGTCTCGAACCAGCAATTGCAGAGAAAGACATCAGCATATGGCAAAACATTTACGTGTGAAGTAAAGACACGAAGGCTCAAATCTGAAAACCACTGGTCAGGAAAACCTATGCTGATGTACACTAACAGTGCGTGCGCATGTTGGCTGGATAAAAGGCAGTATGAGTGAATTGACACATAGAAAATTATGGTGCTCCTGGTGGTGTTACAGCTTTAAACAAGGCTTTGGGATACCAACTTACCAGAAGCCATGGCTTGCCTGAGAAAATTGTACGTCTGGCAAGGCCACCCGAAGTGCTCCTGTAGACTTTCTAGTTGAGACACGAGAGTGGCTTCAGGGGAGAAGGACGTCACCAGCGATTGTTCGTCACCTTAACTGCTCCCCTGTTGTTGATGGATTGAGGCAAGGATTTTGCAATGGTTTCATCACACATTTCATCATTTAGAAAGCAGAAGGTTTCAATGTGCTGTAAATAAAAGAAGCACAGTGAGAGAGAGTGAGAGGTAGTTGGGGGTTGAAAGCCCACTTGAATATTCATGGCTTTCAATCTGATAACCATCCCTAGCTATCTCTAAATATAGAATACAAAAGATAAAGCAGGATTACAGAATAAGGATTTGTAGTTGCCAAGAGGAACAGAAGAAAAATCCTAATCAGCAAAGCAAGTTTACATAAAGGCATGAAGTGGCCCCTGAGGCCCTCACGCACCCATTATGAGTGCTGATATTGAGAATGTAAGAGTGACAACATGAGGACTTCATTTCATACCCACTCAAGCTACACCTCCCTTTTTTCATGCCTCAGCCAACACGAGTCCTCTGTTTCACCACTGACCACATGATGCCGAGGAATGAGAGGCTTCAGTTCAGTCACATTCCACGCAAGCCACAACAGAACAGAAGGAAAAGTAAAAAAGGATGTTCACTGAAGTGGGGTATTCTGTGTACATGAGTGACAAAGTGCAAATTTGTAATACTTCACATGAAGAGAAGCTATAAAACTGTGCATAAAACTTTCTTGCTGAAATCCTGCATGTAATAAAACCGGTGCTTCTTCTCAGCTTTGAGCCTTTAATTGGTCTCATATGTCAAGTCTTCCTGTAACTTTCTGCTCTGTAACAACTGTCAAATGTCAATAAATCTGCCTTTAGTATTGTACTTCAAAAAAGTTCAAAACTCAGTGCTTCAAAGTAACAAGCTGCATTGGAAGAATCTTATAGAATCTCATGAAAAATAACATTTACCAGATATTTAACCATCAATGTTGCAACAGAACTGAAGACAAGATTATCCGAAAACAGACACATTTCATTTATTAGTCAAGAGATTTTACAACTGGTTATTGGACACAACAATGGCAGATGGGCTTTCTCATTGCTTTTTGCAAGTATGCACAAGCTGTATGACAAGAAATCTAGTTATATTTTATTGATTTGTCAATTATACATTCATTTGCCTCTGGTTCGGCACAAATTTGTTTTTCAGAGCGTGTCCTTGCGAAACACATCATTGTTATATGAGTGACCTTTTGAAAGCTTGTGAGGTAGATTCTGTTAACTGCACATTTACATTACGAAACAAATTCAAACATTTGCAAATTCATTCTATCTATTTAAATCCAAGGGGCTTACATTAAACAAGAAGGTTGAACAGATCCTAAAACCCTTCATAAAAAACTATTTAATAGACAAAAATCTTGGATTCTAGGTGATCTCTGCAACGCCATTTCTTCTATCAGTGCATCAGGGTGATTGATTATTTTCTTCAATAAAGTGTCTTAACAGTGGTCCCATAATCAAAATATTGTAGAGAGAAATTAGAAAATTTAAAAAAACAACAACAACAAATTGAAATCTCAAAACATAGGACTGTTTAAAACAGGAGTATGAACACGATGATATATTTGGGGAAGGTCAGCACAGAAGTCGGGTGACTGTGAGAATAGTTGCGATGCTGGAGAAGACTGGGCGTAAACCGGCTGTCCCGCTGATTGGCATACAGTGTTCCCTGTTCTGGCCGATGCAGGCTGCATATGCCATTACGTGGGGGATGTAGTTCTGCTCGTGGATCCCATGCAGTAGGTGAGCCAGGGGACCTTTAGCAAACACAGCGACATCCTCTCCCCCATGAGTCTCCATGCTCAGAGGTACAGCTGCTTGGGCCTGGTAGTTGTTTTCCTCTGAGAGGAAGGAACACAGAGGAAAGTTGCAAACGTTATTGTTTTTAATGCCTGAGGTACTAAAGGAAAAATCCACCCTACAATGCTTATTAGCATTCTTCTCAGGGAAATCGCTCTGTCTGATCCCATGCAACTAACTCATAACATAACTAACAGAAATGTTCTTCTTTGACTTGATAAATGAAAGCCAATATTTTGAGTATCTTTATTTATCTTGACACTGTGTGGCTAAGAAAATGTTCTTACGGTAGTCAATAGCAGAGACGTTCTCCCTCGCTCCATTGACAACTTTGTAACCTGGTCCATTTCCATATAAAATGGAGGTGAAGGGCTTCTGATCAATATCACTCACCCTGGGGGCCAGACCTGCAAATGGAAACTGAGCTTATTACCACAGCAGAACCCGACTGAAACGTTAACATGCAGCTTAACAAGTCATATGTATTCGTACAGGTATACATTGTGGAGTATCAGTTGCATCCTTGTCATTACATACCAAATATCGTATTTCCCCTGACTGTGTAGCCGCCGAAGTTGAACACATGAGAATGATCAGCAGTTACTATGGTCAGTGTATCGTGGGTGCTGGTCATGAGACCTGCCCGGCCAATGGCCCGATCCATCTCCACAGCTTCATGTAGCGCTTGCTTTGCCTTGCCCTCATGGTGTCCGTGGTCTATACGCCCTCCTGGTAGACAAGTAAACATTTCACATTAGCTGTTGCACTCTTTGGCCGTGGCATCCTTTAAACAAACTAGTTTATATGAGACGCAATTCCACCACGTCTGTTAACACACATGCCAAAGTAGTTGTGTTAAGAATGATGACAGAGAGCTTGAGAGAGAAGTTCAAACCTTGCTTACTTTCTCACCACAAACCGGCCTATCAGTGTGTGACGGGATGAAGCTCCTCAGTTTTTCAGTTTAGGAAAACCGATGAAAACTGTCAAATGCATCTCCCACAGTGCTGTCATCATAAAGGTGTGGGGGCAGAGGTTTCAGATGCTGATCTGACAAGAACTGATTTCGAATACACTTGTGAAGACCATGTATATCATGGCAGTCTTGAGTTTCCAATGAAGCCGCTAACTCTTAATTTTCTACAATGGAAACATCGAAACATATGCCTCTTTATAACTGAAAACAATCGTTTTGGTCATTTTGGTTCTTTCATAGATTTATTGTAGGTCTTCTGGGAAAATGACAAAAACTGCTGAGGTCAAAAATATACAAACAGCAATGCTAAAGTTTGTTTAAATGTACCCTTGGCCATTTTTACTTCGACTAGGGGCTTTTTGTAGCCGCCCAGAAGCTCCTGGCAAGTAAATTAGCAACTAAATTTGTTGGCTTTCTGGCACAGACTTTTTTCTTCAGCACAGTCCACAGGTGCTTGGTAAGGTTTAAGTCAGAACTTTGGGGAGTTCTAAAACCTTAATTCTAGTCTGATTTAGCCTTTTTTTTGTAACCACTCTTGATGTGTGTTTGGGGTTATTGTCTTGTTTAAACACCCAGCTATGACCAAGATCCAACCCTCTGGCTGGTGATTTTAGGCTTTCCTGAAGAATGTGGAGGTAATCCTCCTTCTTCATGATTACATTTACTTTGTGTAAAGCATCAGTTCCACTGGCAGCAAAACAGCTCCAGAGCATGATACCACTGCCATGCTTGACTGTTAGTATGGGTGTTCGCCTTCTTTCCAACAAATATATTTCTGGTCTTTGTGGCTAAATGACCATTTTTTTGTTTCATCTGACAACAGAACTTTCTTCCTGAAGGCCTTTTGTTTGTTGTTTGTTTGCCCTTGTGATCAGCAGAAACTTCATTCCAGCCTGAAGGTGCTGCTTCTTGCACAGTAGCCTTTAAACCCATGTCTGGTGATTTTTGGTTGACTCTTGACCATCCTGAAAAATAATCTCCCAGTAGCAGGTGATAGCTTGCATTTTCTTTCTGATCATTGCAGTGACACAACTGTGTCTGTAAGCACTTTATATTAAAAAGCAATTGTTTGTACAGATTATTTTGGAATATGGAGCTGCTTTGAAATGGCTCCAACTGACTTACCTGAAGTCAATGATTTGCTTTTTCACATCTTTGCTGAGCTCTTCTCAAATACAACTTATTTAAGCTGGCTCAGAAGAGTCAGCAGCTGCAGTCAATTGTAATCATTTACGAGAAGTTAGGAGGCCGTGCTATTCAGAAACTAGAATTAATACCATATATTTGTATATATATATTTACAGTCGTGACTCGATAGTCCAACCCTTAACAATTCGAAAACCTTGCTATCCGACAGGTTTTTAGGAAAAGCAAATGGAAACCATAGAAAATAGCCTTGACATACCGACAGCCTGGTGTCGGATTAACGAGTCACAACTGTTTATATGTGTATGTATGTATGTATGTATAGATAGATAGATAGATAGATAGATAGATAGATAGATAGATAGATAGATAGATAGATAGATAGATAGATAGATTTTTGTACTTTTTAAATGCACTTTTTGCATCAGCAACACTGCTGTTCACTTCTGCCATGCTGAATTGTAGTTGCAAGCTGGCTAATGTTTTTCAAAACTATTTCATGTGAATATTACTGAATGTAATGTGTTTTTTTATTTTTATTTTGTTTAATTAACCTTTGCAAAATATATTTCCATGAAGGAAACGCCAAGTAAAAGGCTTGTATAAATAGTTGCTTGTGAACTAACCTGTGTTTTAATGAAATAAGTGCTGTGTTGTGAATTGTTAAGAAAGGCAAGTTTTCTAATATCAAACCATATTCAAAATGACTTGAGTTGTTGGTCATTTTTAACAGAACTTGGAGAGATGCTGTTTCCATGGGAACACAACATTTCAGTCTGGTAGCCTGCCTGCCTTGTGGCCAATATATAAAAGAAAGCCAAGTAAGTCTGGCTGAAGGGCAGTCTCACTAATTACACGCCACCCTGCTCTTTCTCCCAGCTGTCACTCATGTGTTCTCAGCTTATACTGCTATAGGGTCGACATGACCACAACAACCAAACAGGTCATAGTTTCACAAAGGTAGATCAGGTAAAGCCCCTTTAAGATTTTAAGAAACCCATCAGCGTCATCAGCATTACACAAGCTTGGGATCATTACAGTGATTCTGATGCATCCTCCAGGAACCACAATTGTGCATAATTTCATGGCAATCCATGCAAATTGGTGTAGGACTCTTTTCAGGCATGAGATTGTTTCAGAGGAGAAAAGCGTCTTTCCCAATATGTTTGGCGATTTTTTAAATAAACCTAACACTCGTGTATCTGAAGTCAAACAAAAAACTGCACACTGTGCGATCGGATCTCCTAACAGCCTAAAAATCGTGCTCTAACTGATGAATGGTAGTGTCCCAATCATATACAGTAATAAGTATAAGTGGCCTAACAACAATGCCTAAAGGCACCTTCACTGTCCAAATCTACCCGATGACTTTGACTGCACTATGAAAATTCTGTTGCTTGTTTTTAAATGGGCATCATTTGAGTACACACAGCCTCAAACAATGTAAATTTAAGAATCCAATACTAAGCAGCAATACTTCTGTATTGCAATAAGAGAGCATACGCAGCAAAACAATAGTTTCTTACATTTACACTCAACTATAGGAGGACATAGTTATTGGATTACAATACACTACATACCATAGGAGCCAAACAGGCAAAATGCTTGCAAGTCCTTGGCCCTTTTTTAGTAAAAAAGGGTGTCAGTGTTAACTGACTCAATACACCAGTCTGACAAATCTTTGTGAAACTGGCACCAAAGTAGTAGTAGTAGAGGATCACTGTGCAATTCCCCAAAAATAGAGACTATAAACTGACCCTCGACAAGCAGGTAAAATCCACTTGGATTCTTCCTCAGGATCTTGATGGCAACTTCCACCATCTCTGTCAGCGAAGGATCAGTGTCGGTGTTCCTCTCCAAGTCATACGTCAAATCCGCAGGTTCAAAGAGACCTGGAATTATGGAAGGCACAATTCAAGGTGAAATAGGATATTACATGCAGAAAATAAGCCTACAGCAAATGAAAACACACATGGCTCTTCATTTACACTTCAATGAGAATTTTTATAATGACTGAGGCTCACCCAATAAGTAATCCACATTGTTAGGGTTCAGGGATAAGAGCTGCTTCTTGTTCCACACATAATGGCCTTTCTGCAAAAAATAATAATAAAAAATATTATGTATTGCACAGTGTGACTTGTAACACTGCAGTCACTTTGAACTTTAAAAAATGAAAATTTTAATGTAGAAGAAAAGGAAGAATGTACTTTATCTTTCATTCTGTCAATCCACTCTTGCACCAGGTTTCTTCCGTCTTTCCGTGTACCGCTGTGCTTCAGTACATTGGGGTATTCTACGTCTGATTTGTTCTTAGGGAACATATACTTCCTTCCTCCACCCAAAATAACCTGCAAAGTCACAGAATGGAAGTCCCAATCTTAATCACAGCTATTATCGGTCCAAATAAAGACGAAAAAGCACAATCTGCTCATAAATAAACTCCATTGTTTGATTAGTCTGGTGTCTGTACAAAGTTGGGTGACAAAAAATGTCCAACTAAATATCTGAGGACTTTCTAGTCCATAAGAATTAGGGCAATGGGTGTTTTTAAGCAACCAATCTGATCAGAATTTCTTCAATTAATCCATTCATTGCTTGGGCCATGAAATGTTTAAGAAAAAAGAAGAAGAAGAAAAATGCTCAAGCTCATTTCTAAAGCCATGCCACAAAGTTGTTGCTTGCGTTGCCCGACTGAACAAAACTAAAGATCAGCAGCTATAGTCGCTGAATCTCTGGGACTGTAGTTAAACGCAGTGGCACTTTAAGCTAAACGCTAACATGCAAGCAAATATGAATTGTTCTATTTAAATGTACATGAATACGTACACCACCCCTGTTAAATGAGTGACTGTTTAACACAAACTTTCCACAGCCATGCAAACTGCTCTGTGATGCTGTAAATGGGAATCAAAATCCAGTGTTAGCATGCAAACATGTCCCCACGGTGCTAACATGCCAATGCTGCTGCTGGTATCTTTACTGTCAATGTTTAGCCTGTTATCATTTAAGATTAGCAATATACATGAAGGGTAGCTTTAGTGTATATATATATTTGGCATAATTTGTGTTGTTTTGCAGATATTTGGTCACAACACAAAGACAAACTGTATCCCCAGAAGATCACTAAGTTGTTACAAATCATCCTAAGTCTGACATTCATGTTTGCATCAATTTACAGGGAAATCAATTCAACGGTTTTTGAGACATTTCACAAAAAACAAGAAATTTTAACCTCATTTTAAGCAATACGGAAATTCAGGGGGTTATCAAAGTTACGGTAAACCTTTAGTGGTAAATCTTTAGTTCTTATCAAGCGCAAGACTTTCTACTAACATCAATATTGGGAATGTTTTCAAAGAGTTGTCTGGCGATGTCCTTGCAGCCGGCCTGCAGTGCTTCGGCTGGCATCTCATTGTCGGAGTACCATTCTCTGTCCACGCTGTGGGCGTAAGCAGCACTGGGAGTCGCATGGTTGACGCGTGTCGTGGTCACTATTCCCACTGCCTTGCCTGCAGCAGACACACAGAAGCAGCTGTTTGAATAAAGAGTATATTTTTGATTGAAGGACAGGTTCAGACTCATTTCAAGTTACAGCCTTTTAATACAAAATTCCCTCTTTGTGTTCAGTGTAGAGGTGCAGTAACACAAAGAGGGAATTGTGTACTAAAATCAATAACCTTTTTGCCTTCTAAGACAGTTACATCAGCTTTGGTTCTAACTGGAATGCATTGTTGGATGGAACACCAAGGATGAAGAGATAAACCAGTGTCTATCTCCATGACAAGGTGTGTAAATCATTAATATTAAAGCCAACACAGGAGTGTAATAAAAAACATAGATAGAAAACTGTTTTCCGTGTGCTTTGTGCAGGAAGCCAGCCTGCCTGCAATGTTTCTTGAGGAATGATTGGATTTCTTCTAATCCCCGACCCCTGAACCCACACACATGCTCACACACATCCTGACCCTCACCCACCCCAAACTTATCCCTTACCACTGCCCTCTGAAAATCCACGGCACTCATTTATTTCACATCTGTCTTCCTTTCTGTGTAGCCTTTTATGGTTTTGTCTTTAAAGGGTTGGCTTACACAACATGTGTTGCAACAGATTGCATAACATCGTGATGCATCCTTGAAGAGTGAAAGCACATCATTTGAGAAAATCGGACATCCTTCGTTGAGATACAAAGATAGTTGTCTTTCAAGCTTTTGATCAAAACTGTGATGAGATGTTGCTTTCTGTCTATGTGTCTCCAACATTGAACTTATTATTGAATTAAAGAGTCACAAACCCAAGGGGAACTGCTTTGATATATACTAACTACGTAACAAATCACTTGAAAATCATTTTAATCAAGGCCAGCAGACACACTAGGGTACAGACTAGTGATGCCCAGATAAAGAATTTTGTCTAAAGGAGGAGGAGTTATTTCCTGTCTCAAAAAGTACATCTTTTGGTCAAGTAAATTTCTCTTGCAAATTGCTCTGAGGCTAACTTGGGCTCAAAGGATGAACAGTTGAAAAGGGGAATGAGTAGACAGAACTTAAAAAAAAAAATGTATTTAGAGCATCACTTTCAAGAACACTTCAAAGTCATTGCTTTAAGCTATCAAGATGAGTGAGTATTCCCACTTCGCATTGCCACAGCATTATCTACAGACATAATTTGGTTTTCTCTCACATGAAATGCATGGAATTCTCAAATTTGAAAACAACTGAAAATGACAATTCTGCATTCTTGTGATTAAAAAAAACAGTGAAGACGAACTGTGCAATTTGAAGTTTGTTTAAAGTTACTCTACCTGCGTCCTTCGCCCATCTGAGGATGGAGGTGACCTCGTTGCCCTCTGTGGTGTTACACTGGGAGCGGACAGCAGCTGCACTCACGCCCACTGTGCCTTCGTTGGCCTTAACCCCACAGAGGAAAGCTGTGGCTGTGCCGGCACTGTCAGGCACCTGTGCGTTGGTGTTGTATGTCTGCAGGTACACATGCCATTAACATGTGATCAGAATTGTTTCAAGTCATCCTAATATGCTTGTGATTGCTTCGTGTTTATATGAGGACATTTGTTTAGGCATTAAGTTAACTAGATTTGTGCTATTCCTACACTAGTCTAGCTGGATAACATTATGCCAAGAACATCAACATTATGCCAAGAAATGTTGTATGCATGTTGCAACTATTCATAATGTCAACATATCCCACAAAAAGAACACAAACAGTGAGACATTAACTCTTAATGCTTTCCAAATGTTCCTTTACTCTCTGTGGCTCTGATCATAAACAGAGTTTGATCTTTAAAAGATGGTTTGTAATTTCCTAAAACAGCTGGCATTGTAGAGTTTAGCAAATGTTACTTAAAGGAGTAGAGGTAGGATACTTGTACGGATTATTTTCTCCCACTAACACATTTTAGATGTACTAGTGGGTATTTTTGGCCAAAGTTGAAATGATTAGTCAATTTACAATAAGCTACTGCAAATACTTATTTTTAAAAGTTTTTAAAAATAGACAATCCTGTTTCAGCTTATCGAATGTGAGGATTTGCTGCTTTTCTCTGTTTTATGTCACTACAAATTAAATATCAATATGTTTTGGACTACGTGTTGGACAAACCCACCATTGAATACTACATCAACTTGGGTTGTAGGAAACTGCGAAGACAACATTTTTACTACTTTTTTTCACAGATTGAACAAGTATTAAATGAATCATTGGTTACAGCAGCGTTCATAAGAGCAAGACAGTTGTGCTGTCAATAAGTCATGTTTGTTCAGACCACCAGCAATTACCCTCCATGCTTTATTGAGTGAGGCACACAAACAGACCACTCCGAATTAGCAAAGAAAACTAATATTGGTATATGATCAATTTTACTTAAATTCTGTAGATTGTAGAATGTGTAAAGTTCTTTTTCACTTAAATCCCTTTTGCGCTTAGCAGGAATTTGTCTGTTGCAGTCTCCAGTTTCAGCTGGAACTGTGATTAATTAGGCTGATTCAAATATTTAGACACGTTGGTTAAATGTGAGCTTTTCCATACAGATCCCACATTTATACAACAAGTGTGTACTGAGTCTGACCATTTTACTCTAAGCAAATCTCCTAATAGAATGTGTTTAGGATTACTGCACTCTTCTTTGTTTAAATTAAGCAAGTGGCCACATTTCTTTTTCCATATGATTAAAGAAGCCATTCTCTGCTCTTGTTGATGGACCCTGACATGACTAATTGAAGAAATAAATAAACAGTGTGACTCATTTCATGTGTTTTGTGCAACAGTTGAGCCCTATGAAAGAGAGGGTTAGGATAAAAAGGTATATTTGGCTTTTGTATATAAATAACACTCTTGAATCAGTTTGTTGTTAAGATTTGTTGACAGCAAGCAAAATATGGCCTGTGACTGGACTTGTGGTTTAAGGACTACATAAAGTCATAGTTGTAGATGATTCATGAGGTATAAATAATGAAACTATTCTTTGATGTGTGATCTTTTTATCAAATCTGTAACCTAATACGTGGCCAGCATGGCGTGACACACCGAGTGACCTTGTTTATGGTCACAGGCCTTTGTCAGGAAGCCATTAATGGCCACAGCGAGATCAATACATTGTGCCATACTGTAGGAGTAGCCAGACCTTGGCCAAAGATACAAAAGGGAACTTGTCCATCTCCAGCTGCGTCTCTTCTCCACTGTGTCCATTCAGCTGACCCTTCAGTATTCGAGCAGCCGTCACAGTGGGAACACCCATCCCTAAACATCAGAAGCAGATTGAGTTTTAGGACTGGGTTTCTCTCAGCAGGAACAGAAAGAACCTGTACCTATCAAACATCATTGTTTCTTTGTACTCAGTTTGCAACATGAGATTTTTGTATATTTTCAATGACCTATTTGAACTGGACTTCTATTGCTAGGCAAAACATTTTCTTAGATACATATTACATCAAAAACAGAAGAAGAAAAATTATAAACACACACTTTTTATGCGCGTCACAAAGAAGAAAGGATGATTTGTGGTTAACTTGTCACTTACAAGAAGAGCTGAACTGAACTGTGAATTTTTGCTGTTTGCTTTTCTACAGATTGAATGCACAAAGTTGAAGATAATCACAGGGAATTGCTGAAAAACAATGTATCCTTCTTTTGTCCATAGGAACTTTGATCCCAGGTTTAGTAAAGATGAATTCTGCCCAGCATATACAGTTTGACAATCTTTCCCTGTTGCTTTCTACCAATTATCTTTTTAATTGTTAAGATGTTTCCTGTTATTCTATAACTACGCTAACATGACCGTGAAAGCAGCAGCGTGCAAGAATGTCATGCAGAGCCTGTAGTGCAAACAGAGAGAGAAAGCAGAGGCCCAATGGAGGATAAAAGTTTTTTGTGTGATCAACAAGAGACCCAGCACAAACAGAAGCCCGGTGATCTGATGGAAGCACAGTTGTTTTGTTCGCTGCTATTCATTCATCTCACGTTAGAAAACATTTGAAAAATCTCATTCATCTTCCACTGCATTCCTGGATCCTCAGTAAAGTCGTTCCAGCTTTAATGAAACAGCTTGTAATTAATCATATCTATCAAAGTGGTCAAAGCTCTGCACTGACAGTTTGGGCTTTCGTAATAAGATTCCTGAAAATCAATGGCTTCTTTCCACCTTTGCTTACACAGCATTTAGGAAACTTTCAGAACTTCTTGCACCAAATTGAGACGTTGTAGCTTACCATCTCCAAGGAAGAAGATGAGATTCTTTGCCTTGTTTTTATTGAGATCTTGCAACGTCACAGCATTCTTCAGGGTCCGCTGGGCCCATGAGTTCCAAAACTTGGGATCCTTCTCTTGCTCTGTGTATGGCAATAAACAGGTGTGGTTAAGATTTGGATAGTTACAGGAATCAATAGATACAGGGTTATCTGTAAAACATGGGACACGCAATTAAGAGACATCCACCAAGACTGAGTAGCACATCAAGTGATGTATAATGCACTAGGTCATATTGTCCACTATACGCAACAAAGTTGAAATCTGACCAATATACTGATCGCCTGATGTTGGCCTATAACACATATGTTGGCATTGATGTATTTGTTATCCAACATGTATCAAAATGAAACTGTTTTTACACAACATAATGCTGAACAAGATGCAAAACCGATTAAAATTGTTTTAGTCCCATCTGAATATCTGTCTTGTCTGTGAATAGTCTCTACCTCGAGTGCTAAAGTCTAACAAGTTGATATTTTACAGGTGAGCTGGGAATAACCTCTCCTTGGAATGACCAGCCTCTTGAGACCTGGCATCCACATGCATGAACATCACATTTATCGGTTATATTACCACGGTAGTTAATTCTTCTTAACTGGGACCTTATGGCGACATGTGTGAGCACTTACACTAACATCTATGATGATATTTAGTTTTTATTCTTATCAGGTTCCAATAAAATGAAATGAAATGAAATGAAAAATACTTTATTTATCCCAGAAGGGAAATTCAATAAAAGATTTTATATATTTATATATATATATATATTTTTTATTTAGATAAAATTAAATATAAGGCCAAATAACAAAGAGATATATTTTTAAAAAATGCATATCAAACAAGAGCTCGGGACTTAAGAGGTTACAGTTTGGGGCAATCACTGCAAAAATAGCTCTGCTAGAGGTCATAGGTCACTTAAAATTGTATACCTTCAAAGAGGTTGAAGGCAGATTTAAGGTATTTGGTGCAGATAAGCAACCATATTGGGGCTTTCTATTGGTGGTGTTACATTTGACCTTGGACGATATGTCAAGGTCAGAGTCAAGATCATGAATTTTGATTGCACTGTAAACTTGAAAACGGTGCAAGATAGACACATTGTTTATATCAGAAATCATATGTAGGCTTCCCACTGGGCATGTAACGTTTGACCTTGTCTGATACTTCCAAGGTAAATCTCAAGGTTAAAACAAACTGACATTCCCAATATATTTTAAATAATATGTAGTGTATCCATGGATAGTACCCATTTCACCTTGGACAACCAGCCAACCATGATTAGTGAAAGACAACACCTATTTTGTGGTAAGTTGGACAGAATGATGGTTTACTATGGCTCGGTGCAACCATGGCCGGCAGGGGCAACTGTATCCCTCTACTGAGGGCCCTCTAGTTTAAAAATAGTGTCATTGCATAGTTTTTCCAGCACATCAGCTCTGACTCCATTCTTTACAAATATCTCAGCTCTGTCTGCAGCACATGTAGCAGAGTACACACCAGCGCTTAGCAGTGTCTTTGGGGTAAGTTGATAACTACATTGCTTGTCAAACAACTTGCTGGATAGTCCTTTGATTTGACCCCAAAATCAAGTCCTACATCAATTCATTATGATCTTGTGCACAGTCCAGCCTACTAACACTGTTGTTACTTAACACTTTTATGGAAAAGTGACCTGGGTGCTCGTTCAGACATGACACTGTGTAAATAGAAAGGAGTGCACTTCTGAAATATCTTATCTGAGCTCTGTACACCATTACAAGCACAACACATACAACTGAGCTGAAACAATCTGCTGATTCATTAGTCGACTGTACAGTTTTGATAACTGATTATTATTTAAGACATTTTTTAAATAAAAACACACAAAAATGTAATGGTTCCACTCTCTCGTGTGAATATTTGGTGATGTTCTTACTCTCTCTGAGTATCTTTATAATTAGCACTTTCTCAGTTAAAGAAGACATTTTCAGACTTCACTGTGCTAGGAAGCTGACATTTTTCACAGTTTTAGAGGCCAAGTCATTAATCCAGTATACGAAAAAATAATCAGATTAATCAGATCAATCACGAAAATGCAGGTTTATCTTTATTGAATTTCCCTTCTGGGATGAATAAAGTATTTTTCATTTCATTTCATTTCATTTCATTCATTAACCACGTTAGAGCAAAATCACGACATCCAAGTTGTACATTTTTGACTTGGTTCACATTCACTTATAAAATGTGGTGACGGATGTTTTCACACGATGAATACAAAAACATCCCCTTGCAGGATGGTCCATTTTAGGACTAAGATTTAAATAATAAATTCCTGTTATTTTGCGTGTGGTACCACCATGCTGTGACAAAAATATCCAGGGAAAACAGGAAATCTGTTTAGATAAATAAACTTCCTTGAAAGATTCTAAATATTATCCAGTAACCTTGCAAATGTTCAGTGAGTGTCAGATGCCTCCTGTCAAAATATAAATGGCTCTTTTCCTTTTTTTTTTTTTGCGACAACTGACTAACAACACAGTGACTTACCAGGGAATTGTGGTTTCCCCGAAATCCCCAAGAGCAGACAGGAGCAGATGATGAGCAAGGCTGTCACCTTCATGTTGTCGTCTGTGTGTGGCTGATGTGTAACTCTAGACAGCCATAACATGCCACTTTGAGAAGCCTGTCTGCAGTCGTGTCGCCGCTACAAGAGAACCAGAACACACACTTGTAATTAAATATGTGTCACCTCGTCACACGCTGACTCTGACACACTGACTTAATATTTATTTATTCGAGCATGATTTCACTAAGTACATTTTTTTCAAGCAAATAACACCTCTTTGCTCAAAATGTCCAGTGGAGGTGGGAAGTTACAGGCACCATGTGTAGAGAATGTGCATTGAACAGTGTTGGAGTAAAATACTGGTAAACCTTGATTTTTTTTTAATGTCCAGCTTGACACTAAACTTACGCTTTTGCTTTTAAGTTCCCCCATGTTAAAGCATCTTCACTAAGAAGGAGTGAGTGTACGCGGATCTTTGAGTTCATGCGAGGGGTTGATTGACTATTGATTTGGCAGATCATCAGATTTTTTTACACGTATTTGATTTCTGACAAAATAAGTTAATATAAAAATGTGCTACTTTGACTCTGATGCAGCCGCCTCTCTGTTTGTAGTCTGATTGGTCGTACTTGAGGAGCAGTAGCATATCAACACTGAAACATAAATGTTTAAAACTTATCTTTTTAATCAAAGATGTGTTACGCATAAATAAAGACAAGCATTTCAACTTAGTGTTGTGTTGGAGCTTGTATAGATCAAAATTTGGACGCCAAGATTATCATTTTTACTGCAAATGTACATTGTTTCCAAATAATGGTTACTGATCTCTGTGATTCTTAATTGTGTGTTGTGTTTATTGTTGAAAAACCACTAGAAGTGGCATTAACACAAGATGTGTCTTTTTTTTTTTTGTTTGCCTCATTAGTTTAAAAATGGATCTCTTAGCCTATGAACCTTTGGCAGCCGAAACAAAAGAAGAAAAAAGAAGTTAAGGTTGAGGCCTCACTGTGAATGTAAGTAGTCACAACAGGGGCCCTTATTGGCCCTGGCCAGTCAGGCTTTCATCTATAATTATCCACAACCTCCTGCTTTCTTCCTTGTGCTTATGGTCAAGGTCATTTTAATGGGATTGAGCTCCATAGCACTGAGAGGTTTAAGAGCCATAACAAAGCCGATTAACACCAAATGATTGACTGAACACGTCCACTCCTGAGCAAAAACCGCAACATAGTAATGATTTATCACAAAAATCTTTAACCTGTGCTGTCACAACAAAAAGGATCTGTTTCTTTTTGCATACATTACACCCGACTGTCTTAACTGCAGCTGTTATGTATAGCCTCAAGTGGATTATTAACTCTATTTTGTTAACTGTGTTTCGCATCAATCCCTGGCATTGAAGTCCTCCTTTCCTACCAGCTCTAACATAACTCCAAACAGCTTGCAGAGATAACCTTGTCAGGCCCTCCAAAATCTAGTTGTGCCTGGAAACCATGCCAAACTCCACAATAATAACGAACAGGCAAGTTTCAACCAGCCAGGACATATAAAAGAAAATTCCAGCATCGATCAGGCAGAAGTTGATCGTTACAATAACAAAGTTAATACCAGGAGGCATTTCCTCAGAAGCAGCAGGCAAAACAGCAGCTGGCAACTTCAGAAGCGACCAGGTCCACCGACAGGCAACGACCCAGCCAGTCTGCAGGTGAAGTAGCAGAGCAGAGCCACGACCGCCACCAGCAGAGCGCCGGTTGACACAGTCGTCAGTATCACATGAAATCCCACTTCAGTCATGGTGTCTCCGAGTATTCAGCTGGTCCGCTGTGTCCAAACTGGTGTCAGATGGGTGGAAGGTTTCCCAGCACCAGATAGCCTCACTCCTCTCAGGCTCTCTTCCTGAGCTGCTTCTGAAGCCCGGGGCAGGTCACACAGCCACTTAAATGTGTCACTCCAGCAGGTAGCAGCTCCAAAGCATGGATTAGACTTTTAATTAAGCTCAGAAGTGAACAGATAGCTTGAAGCTCAAGACAGATAAAGGCTTTCAAAATAAAATTCTATCAGAACGAGTGTACGAGTGTGGTGCCTGGTTTTCAGACAGACAAGATTGTGTTATCTCCTCTGTCTCTGCACACTCTGGTTGGCAAAGACACTGAACACTGTCGCCAGTTTTAAATGGGCAACTTGTTTTGCTACTCACACCAGACTGCCTCATCCAACCTCTTGTATGCACACAGAATACCTAACATTTCAACAGAATTGTGCACACACATGGGCACAGAACTGTATTTGACTGAAATCCACTATGCATCCAGGGATTTGGCCGTAAATCCACATTATGCATTTCTAAAATCTGAGAGGCTTTCAGGACTTTTAGTGACTTTACAACATAAATCCGGCATTCATTTATTTTAAGTGAATTGCAGTTATACTGTTGAAGCCTACCAAGGACATAAAGTGCATGAAAAAAATGGGATAAAACTGAGACAGTAATGGTGCAACAGTTAATTAAAAAAAAAAAAAACAAACACCTCTTTAAAATAAAAAAAAGGAAGAAAATCCCAAATAGATCACTTCACAGCTTCACCATAATAACTACCAACATGAATATGCTCTCAGAGGAAAGATGCAAAAAAGAAAAAAGAAAAAAAAGGGGGGAAACCCACCCAGTGTATGCTCCGGCAGCGTGGCTTCTGTTAGAAACAAAGCAGAGAAAAGTTTATTCTAGTTTTACTCACTGCAGCTGGCTTTCCGGAGGCACAATTCTACATCCAAGTGTGCGAGCAGTCCATTCAGTCCTTCACCTTGAAATGTGTCCTTGTCTCTGCTTTCACGGTCCTTTTTATGAGGCCACACTTGCTCGACTCCGGCTCCTGGCTCTGAGAATAGCGGTCTGTATCCCACGAAGGGGGGGAAAACAAAAAAACCTTAGAAATAACGGTGCTCTGCGCCGCGGTGGGAACACATGGACCGAGAGCTCCGCCTGCCTGACGAGCCATGCGTTGCTTCAAGGACAGAGCACTAACTAACAGCGATGGGGGTGTTTAATATTCATAGCAATGTAAGAATGTAAAAAAAAAAAAGAAAAAGAAAAAAAGAAAAAAGCTCCAGCTATTTCCAAAGACCCTGCGTTCAAAGTTTCAGTACAAAGATATTGGTCAGGAAAATGCGCAAAATGCCTTCTTGCGTGAGTCTGATCCTGCCAGTGTTTTACTGTGGCAGCTGTTATATTGTATTAGTACCAAGGCATTACTGAATTGAGCAAATTTTGGCTAATTAATTTTTTAAGGATAATTTTAAAGCATGGACAAATGTAGTCTGGGTTAGTGTAAATAAAATTAAAAACCAATACAACAAAATAGTAGATGCAAAACAGTACAGAATTAACAATGTAAATGAACTCAAAGAATTAAAACAAAATTCATACAAAACTTCTGGATATGCATCAAAACCACTCATTATCATATCTTATAACATCTGAAATGCAAAAATATTGATCAATAAACTAAAAAAAACTTCAGCAATCACATATTTGTGAAATCAAAGTACAATTTTCCCTCTTAAAATAAGCAACAAAAAAAAAATCTCAATTTATGAATAAATGTATTAAATACTTGTATAGTGCTGCAAACTAAAAAGAAGAACTATCAAATACAAGAATGCAATTTGATTAATTGCTTCTAAATATGGTGGAATTACAGATGTAATTGTTGATCAAATATAATTTCATATTTATTTTTGTTCCAGTAAATCCTTAGACAGTTTAAATTTACTGAAGTAAATTTGTCAACTCTAAAGTACAGTGTGAATAACTCGCCCCACTGTTTTCACAAATACAATTGTTCATAAGTTGTTTGTTTTCTACTTGATCTTGTATTTGCATGTCTCCTACTCACTTTTGTAAAATGTTGTGTGATTTTGTGAATGCACTGACTGGTTTGCTGCGTGATTTCGTTGCACACTGTGGAATGACAATAAAGGAAATCTGTATTGTTCTCTTATTCGTCCTGGATGTTCCTGCTGTTTGCAGTGACCTCCTTTGGATGTCGCTGTAGGATCTGCTTCTTCAACACTTCTGTTAAGTTTACCATGTTTAGGTGAGTCTCAAGCACAACACAACATCTACTGCTACAGTCCTGTTTTCTTCGTTTCATTGATTTTTTGTTCTCCATTCAATACTCCTTACAGCTTTCCAACCCCATTAACTAATTAGCTTAGAATTTACCAACCAAGCACCAAATAGCCCCGAGCACATGCGTTTGGATGGGCCTTGCTCAATCTGCTGTGGACTTTTAACCAACTAGTGTGTTGTAAAGTCCTGCAGGATTGATTTTTTTTTTTTTATGTGTACAGCCTGCCAACACATTTCGATTGCTTTTAAACCGAGCTTCATCCCGTGTTCGTCCAGCGTATTTAATGGTCAGTCTGTGTGGAAAATCAATATTTACAGAGCACGAGCAGATCCTCTAAAGCCAATCAAGAGCTTTCACTGAGCAACACTACAGCTTCTGCTTGTTTTCACCCCCAGCTTCACTGCTGCTGCTTCTTCTGAGTGGTTTGGTTTGTCTTGAACTTATTTTACCATTTATTTTTGGCCTCAAAGTGTTGGAAGAGAGCTGGCACATAGCTAGCTAACATAACAGCATGGCGGCTAACACCGTCACTTTGTGGACGTAGGGGTTACATTTGAATTTTAAAATTTGACGGCCTCGTCATGAATGTGGAGGTTTAGGTAAAGGAAATGCTTGTTTACAGTAATTTAGAAGTGAATTAAAACCGCTCTGGAAGACAACCATACTGTTCAGGCACTAGGTAAGGCAGCTAGCAGTTCACGTAATGTTACTCATTTAAAATAACTGTTTCCGGTGTGAAACTGAAGTGCTTCACATTGAGGGAACGTCAGTTTCGCTAGCTTTATATTTATCAGAAGGAAAGTATAAATCTAGTTTACCATCACATGTCACGCTAGTAATGTTAAACTACCATAGACCTTACATTAATGTAGGGCAGGCCGAGGTACGTGCCCCCCGTATACAAACCTACAAACCTTTACTCTCTGTTTCCATTGGAGTCATACAGAGCTAGCTAGCTATTAGCACTATCATCTAATAGAGTAGCACAATAGCTACCTGGTAATTAGAAAATGGGATATTATCTAGCAAAAAAACCTAACTAGCTGCTGATGTTGTTATTCTATATTCGTTTGCTGTAGCAAAAAGTAATGTGACATTATTTTTGTCACAGATTTAAATATCATTGATAATCCGTGAATCAGTGAACAAGTTATAGTAAAATTATAATCCCTCTAATGTGGTTTGTCCTCGGCCCATCAATTTTAAATCAATTGGCAATATTCAAGCTATTTTCTAACTTTTTTTTGTTTTAATTCAGTGTTATGTTGCAGCAAAACATTTAAAAAATGTGTTAATTTTATGCATTAGTAGCACGTTTGTATGTATGTATGTATGTATGTATGTGCATATGTAGTTCAGCACACATTGTTCTTAAGGGGGCGTCTTACCCCAGTTTTTACTTTACGTACCGCGCGTGCTGTGGTGAAAACGAAAATGGACTTCATATATTAAAATAAAATATATTTTTTGTCAGTTATCTATGCCGTAAACCTAATACTTATGGCACCCACGAACTGTTTTATCGCAGCTGGTGGCTTTTAAAAGAGACAGACATGTTAAGAGATGGGCAGCTCTACGTTGTCTTTGTACTGCTGCTACAACTCCTGGATATTTTTTTTTCGAAGCGTTTACGCGAATACGCGCTGATTTCCGGGGTAGCGGAAGTTTCAGTGGGATGTGAACTATCTTGACAGTGAGGAGCAGTCTCTTTGGTTGTTTTAGCTGAAGCTCGCCCACTGTCCCCGGTCAGAAAGCGCACCGGAGTCACGGCAGGAGCGGCGCACCGTTTGACAGCACGGTAAGAGCACGTCCTCTGACTGCAGCCCGAACCCTGATAAACCGCGGAGTTAATCATTAAACGTTAATTTACTGTTTTGTTGTATTCACACATCGTCATGTGTTTAGTTCTGCGCTGGGAGTGAGACTTTTGCGAGGTTGTGGACTTTAATAGGGACGTTTTTCTAACGAAGTTTCTTGCGGAACTAATGTCTGTGGTTGTGTGTCATATAACTACAGCGTGGGCTATACAATGAACGTTGCGACAAGTTCAGTGACCTTATCGTTGCTGTGCTGTGGTTTATTATCTGTTATATTCCAATGGGGGCTCGAAGTTCTGCTTCTATAAAAAAAAAAAATGGTAGCAGGGAGTTTCTGTCTGCATCAGGTTTTTTTTTTTAATTACTTTGCTGTTGTTTATTACTTTAATTTGACTCCAAACTTTGACACCCAAAAGCCATCAAAGGTTGTGTTCACATATTCTCGAAAGTATGCTCAATGCATCTTGCAGCCAACGTGACATTACCCCCAGTGAGCAACCATTTTCAGTGACCTGTAAATATGCTTTCAGCCTCCAATCCACCAGCTGTGACCAAAAACAAACGTAATCCAAAATTAGTTTGTAGCCATATGTATTTTCTTTTGTATTTTGTTGTCAAAGAGGCGCAGAATGTTTATTTACACCATCTAAATGTTAGCTTTGATTGCTGTGAGCTGAATATATGTATGGAGTCTTGCACAGCAAATTGTAATAAATTACATACAAGCAATCAAAGGTCAAAATATCTTTCGGGAAACACTAACCTTGGACATACTTGCATCACCAGCAAGTGTAACATGTCAGCTGCTGGTTTTCTTAGGGAGCACAAGCCTGCTCAAAACAGAAGTTATAACGTGGTTTAAAAAAGAGCAATCAAAGTGACAACACTATTTACGTGTAAAGATTCTGTCATTTTGTCTGCTTTATGAGGCATTGGGTTTCTTGTCTGTCTGCGTTTCATGTCCTCTTTCTCATGGCTTATTCCTGTCATTGTCAGGACAAGGTCTGCTTTGCTGTGTGTTTTTCTAATTTATGACGCAACTAAAATGTCAAAACTGAAGTCAATAAATTGGTTGTTAGATATATGGCTTGAATGAGTGCTGGCAGAGAAGTCAACAGATAGCTATTTGTACAGCCTCATGCTTGAGTGATTGATTGTTTAATAACATTACACAGCTCTGGAAGCACTGCACTCAGGCAGCTTGGTCTCTGCAGTTATTCATTATCTAGGTGTGATTGGTAGTGTGCTGCAGGGTGCCATAACAACAGCAGGAACAGGTAATCTCCTGTTATCTGTCTGTGCCTGTGCAAGCTTCCATGTGCCACTCCTTTAATCCTGACCTTATGCTGAAAAAGTCTTGCAGGAGCTCTTTAACTATATTTGAGACACAGCTATTTCAATCAATAACATTACACAAAAATATGTATGGAAATAAACAGTATCGTGCCATGTTTTACTGTACTTTGCATGCCAGTTCGTGCTGATTAACATAAAAGTTTGTCTATGTGCAGTAGATACACTGCATGGTGGTGACACAAGACCTGGCTAGGTGATATCTGATCATTCCACATACGTCAGGGTACCTGAAACGTGCACAGAATAATGACTTGGGAGTCCTCTGCTAATAAGGAATGTAAAGAATTTCAGAGCTGCAGCCTGCATATTAAAAACCATGTGAGAGAAAATGCAAGCTCTTTATTTTTCAAATTAACAGTGCGCATGGTGAAACACTAAAAATAAACCAAAAGTGTTATGATTCCAGAGTAGGATTAAGCCAATTGCCTGGGAAAGTTTTTTGTTTTTTTTCATTGTGGTAATGCCTCATTATCAGGGTGTTTTCTCCAAAGGAAACATCTCTCCGCTGTGGCAAAAAGAAATTTCCAGTGCT